GGAGAAACAGCCAGTTGTGCCAAGCTTGTAGCATCATACTCAAAAAGAATTGAGGCTGTAATTGGTGCTAAAGGTGCTTCAACAAAGTACTGATCAAAGGCTGTGAATACTTATGTACATGTGATTTTTTTTCATTTTTTATTTTTAATAAATTTGCAACGACTTCAAACAAACTTTTTTCACATTGTCATTATGGGGTATTGTTTATAGAATTTTGAGGACAATAATGAATTTAATCCATTTTGGAATAAGGCTGTAACATAACAAAATGTGGAAAAGGTTAAGCACTGTGAATACTTTATGGATGCACTGTATATGACACATTTTATTTTTATTTACAGCCCATGTATGTATTGGAACTGATAACAGCATGTTGGACTTCAGCACTTCATGCTTACAAGTATCATGAGAAATAGCTGCTACAAAATAAAAGCTACAAACAACCACAACATTGCACAGTATGGCTACAGTACATGACAGTATGAGTACGAAGTCACTGCTCAGCAAGTATGAAACTTTTGGAAATTCTGGCACTGAAGTGAATTACCATCACAGTGCACAGTGAGGACTAAGGTTCGAAACATGGTAGAAAAACGAGGGGCTGTGGTCCCGAACAGCTTTTACTGTAAGTTGGTGTGATAGCAGCCGCACTATATACAAAAATATGATCCTCGAAGAAATTAAGCCAATAAAACACTGAGAACTCAGCTCACAATACCATTCCAACCTGCTACAGCTTGGATTTAAAATTTTATTTTTTATTTTTCCTTGCCATGGAGTTGCTCCGTGTGACAAAAAGAGGCCACCTACCTACTGCACTTGGTCCAACCTTACCCAGTCCGAGGAGGGGAGACAGACAGGACAGAGGAGGGGGCGAGTGGAACTGTGGGAAGTGGCACAGTGCAGCGCTGACAGGAAGAGAGAGAGGGGTGGGGGCGGGGGCGGTGCGGCCCTGTGGACCGACATGCACACACAGGATGGATGGCGCTCCGGTTGCTACAGAGCTTGTTCCATCACTAGAGAGATCACTGCCGATTGGGTTGATGATGCTAGGAGACGTCTACTGTACAGTAACACGCGGTTAGAAAGCAGAGTGTATTGTCCCCCACCAACCCGCAGCCCTCCCCTACACCATCCAACCCTGACCAGAGCAGGTGTATAGTGGAAAATTTCTGCCATAGAGTGTTCTAGTTTATCTTTACTTTTGTCTATAACAACATTAAAAAAAGATCGATTTTTAAATAATTTTTTTTCCTTTGGTTTCCCCTTTGGCTGCCCTTTGATCCAGAATAAATTAAGAGGAGCAGTGACCAAAAAAATCTCCCCATATCTGAATATTTACATGTTGAATTTTTCCTAATTATTATGAAAGCTCAGCTGTATCTTCAGTTTGTGTCAGTCTGTCAACTATGACTAAAGCGAAATGTCTACATGAAATAAAAGTAAAAAGTGCTAGTTGATGACACAAGTCCTCCATTATACCGCACAGCTCCAGGCCCTCACCCTCCCTCCAACCTCCCTCCCCATGATCAGACAGTGGTGAACTGAAAAAAGAGCTCATGCCTGCTCCCCCTGTCCCTCAGACTGTGGTGGTTGTCTTTTAAGTGGTCAGCGGGCCCCAAGCCCCCCTGCTGACTGTTCCCTCCCAATGCCACAGCACCACACTCTGGGCTGGCCCACTAGGGGGACCCCTCATTTCACCAAAAGGGACCACAACCCTTTTGTCAGGAATATCCGCAACCTGCCAGTAGCAAGGAGTCCGACAGAGGACAGCGGGTGAGGCTTAAGACAGTGTGTGTGTGTGTGTGTGTGTGGTGGGCGTATGTGCTCAAATACAGTGCATAACAAAATTTTGTTTTTGTTTTTTTTGCTTCATTGTTTTTAATTCATTTATTATATTTAATATGGTGCAGTTGTAAATGCACTTTTTGGCATCTGCTTCTCAGATATATTTTAGGCATTGTTCCGTTTTCTATATTATGCTTTTTATAACTGTATAGTTAGACTGTATATGTATGGGTGAACAAAAATTTGACATTGAATTTGAGTGTAGAATATTTTCAGAATCTGTTTATTGGCCACAAACAACTAATGGGCTTGATACCCAAATGAAAATAATGTGGCTCATGTCAAAAGCACATGTTTGCTAATAATTTTATTAACCTACCATAATTTACCCAGTTTTGCATCCAAGAGCTCAACTTACTATAATTATCACCTGGTCTTAAAGTGTGATATTTCTAGCACCTGTGGTAATACCTATTTTTAATTTTTGATTGGATTCAAATTCTAGGTTAAGAAATTGTCCTCCAATTCATTCTATGTGAGTAAATCACTGCCTTTTTGTACCACATCAGTGCAGCTCAGTTTTGCATGTGTGCACTAGACAGAAGATGAAAGGTGTACAGTATGTCTCACATCATGCAAATATTTGTTTTGTTGTCTGTGCGTAGGTCTGTGTGTGTGTGTGTGTGTGTGTGTGTGTGTCTATATTAGCCAGCCACTGCTCTAGGTCCACCTGAACGGGCAGGGCTGCATTCACATAACCAGAGCACCACCGAACATTTCACAAAGGGTCGGATGAGGGGCTTTGCCCAGTGCCTGGACAATGGACCAGCTTGCATGGCACAGCACATGTAACAAGTACCAGCACCAACCATGCATCACTGCGATGGAAGAGCTACAGCTGGTCCAACACCTCTCCTTACTACCCTCCAGGGAATGCTTCACAGCCCTCTACCTAATGAATGCAGGCAAGGCGTTTGCATTTCCCTACCAAGCGGTCAGAATCCCTTTTGACGAAATGAGACGCTACCGAGTTACAAACCTGCCCAGAGGGTGCTGCTGGGGCGCAAGCAAAGTCCCGTCCCTCAGGGTTACACAGGTAAGTAAAAACAAACGACCACCGACATATCAACTCATAGCCTGACTTCCATCCAATGCAGCCCTGGCTGGCAGCCTGGCTGCTCCTGGGTTGGGGGGGGGGGTGAGAATGGCCAATCAGCTTAAAAGCAATCAGCTACAATGTACAAAGGGAAGAGGGATAGCTGAACTTTTCCCCCCAATCCCCCGGAAACAGATGAGCCAAAACACAAACACAGAGCCACATCCATAGAAAAAGAAAAATTAATCTATGCCTTCGCTTTAAAAAATCATCTGGTGGCAAGTTATACATTAACTAAAGATATGCAACCATACACAGTCACCAAACAGACATTCACAAACATATAAAAAGGCATGCACGCATACAGTGTTAACACTGAAATAATTACAATAGACATGCCTGAGTTAACAATTTAACAAGTCCTGATGTTTTAACAGAAAAGAAAATGGACTGATGGGCTAAAAGACAAACAGGATTGAGAGAATGTTTATCTTTCACTTACCAAAAGATCTGGAGGTCCCCCTTTATCCCTCCATTTCTCTCTCTCTCTCTCTCTCTCTCTCTCTCTTTTTTGTCTGGTAAATTAAACCTGTCACCATTGTGTGAGAGCTGTGTGTATATGGCAAGTGCATGTTATCAGTTTATTTACTGCTTTGGTTCTAAGAACCAAGACAAGATTGTTTTAAATAAGTGAAATATTTCATTGATTGTGGGATATAAAGAAGTTCCACAAGGTGAAACCAGCCCATCTAAAAACATTGCTCAAGCCCCCACTGTTAAATCTGCCCAATGTCGCCTGTAACATCTACAAAGCTCAATTGACACAGTCAGCCTGCACTGATTTGTACTGTGTGTATACTGATCAGCCATAACATTATGACCACCTGTCTACACAATGCAGCAGTTGGTTGGCATTCATGTCACTCTCCAGCTCACTGTGCAGGAGTGAAAACTGTGATCATGAGGACAAGTTAGAGAGAATTTTTTAGACAAATTCAACAGCCGACCCACTCTAGCTGTGATATGACCACTATAGCCACTGGATGTTTCAGATCATAGAAACCAATGCACAGTATTACTCATTTTCGACCATTTTAACAAAGGTTCAAACAAAATGGAATATTCTGAAAAGGATGAATGAAATTTAAAATTTTAATCTACAGTATGTCAGCTCATGAACGAGCATTGGCCACCCACAACCCTGTCACCAGTTCACTGTTTGCCTTCCTTAGACCACTGATGGTAGGTACTGACCAGTGCAGACTGGAAACATCCAGCCAGACCTGCAGTCTGGGAGATGCTCTGACCCAGTCGTCTCTCCATCACAGTTTGGCCCTTGTCAAAGTCACTCAGATCCTTACGTTTGCCCATTTTTCCTGTTTCAAACACATCAACTTCAAGGACTGACTGTTCACTTGCTGCCTAATATACCACACACACTGACAGGTGTCACTGTAATGAGATAATCACTGTCAGTGGTCATAATGTTATGGCTGATCAGTGTATGTGTCTATTTACCGATACTGTATACTGTGGTCCTATATCTATAGAAGTCCTTCATGCTTTCTCAGTACCTCTATGTTTTCCTGTATGGGTACATCTCATTCCTCTTATAAGATCGATCCAAGTCTCTTATATTGGGTCTGAGGACTGAGGAGCAAGGACGATGCCGGAGGAGCCATTACCGAGGATACATGAGATTAGCCTCCGTAGAAGTATTTTGTAAACTGACATGTCCCTTTATCAGAAATCGGCTGGTGATTGGACACTTCAGATGAAGGATCTGAGGAAAGGACATCTCATGACATTAATAACCTGCTTCCTTGAGTCATCGCTCCACATGTTTCCCTCACATCTTTTCCTTGCATCTTACATGGGCAGGACTAAGACACAAGGTAAAGACATAAGTGAGGGAAACAACAGTGCTTACAAGAGACTTGGGAGGTACCCTATGTGTGCAGTCCAGAGAGTCAGAGGGAGGAGGGGTGCCTTCCAAGTGGGGGTGGGGTGTATGGGGAATCAGGTGTTGGCACCAAGGGGGCAATGCCAGAAATGGTACCCACCTTATGAAGTCTCCGTTGGGGTCGGTGCGCCGGCCAAAGCCCACAGGGCAGTAGCAGTGAAAGAACTGCTGGAAAAATGAACTACAGGACAGCCACATCCAACTGCCTGCGTTCACACTCCAGTCTGCATCTAGAAGCAACTCTTCAAAGACCTGCAGCAGCACAAAGACAACAGATCATCCAGATGTTTGTTTTAAACTTGATGCAAAAGTTTCTAAAAGTGTCATGGATCCAACTGGAATAAGATAATCTAAGGTGGTATTCCTTCCATCCCATCCACCTTGTGTTATAAATTCCTGCATCCTCACCTTCATCCCTTCCTCCCAACTGATCCACAGGTCCCCCCTGGTGAGGAAGCAGGCCACTGCATGCCTGGCTAAGTGATGGATCCAGCCCTCCTGCCTCAGCTGAGTCATTATGGCATCTATCCAGGGAAAGCCTGTCTTAGCCTCAGCCCACTTAGCAAGAGCCTCAGGATTTTTGTCCCAAGGGATGCGGACACAGATAGGGTTTCCTTCCATCTTGTCAAAGCGGGGGTTGTTAGTTGCTGCTGTGTAGAAGAACTCACGCCACAGTAACTGGCCATACAGAGAGAGCGGGGGGGAGCTGTTCTTTTTCACCTGGATACAAATAAATGAACCAAGAATAAAAATATTAGGCAAAGAAGACATTGGTTTAACTACAAAACATCATGGTGGCACTGAGGGAATTTCCAGACAACATAAAGACAGAAACATTTGATAGTAATTTGGTGAAAAAAAGGTGAGAGACCTGAAGATTTTGTGAATTGACAGAAATAGCTGGAACTCTGGACTTCATGACAACTTCATTCCTTGGTCCAAGGATTTAAAATTGTGTTCTAAAAATGTGTTGTGCATCAACTTCTTTTCTCCTAATAACAGATGTACTTTGAATCAATCTGATAATGGGCAATCATGTTGCACAAACAGGAGGAAAAAATGCAGTCACTAGTTGATATCTGTAGACAGACAAATAATAAAAAACTAAGTTTAGAACTTGAACTTGACTTGGGATTTTACTTGAGGCTCTCAGTGTTCTTATTCATTAATTTGTCATTCTCCAGACATAGTGAGACATTGCACAGGCTCATTTGCACAATGACCCAACCTTTAAAACCTAGGCAATTTATGGGAATTTCCACCTGAAAAAAACAACCAGTACAGTATGGTACAGTACAGTACAGTAATGGACTGCTCCATAATTGTAGGGACAAAATGAGCAACCTTGGCCTCTATGGAAAAGTGACATTTGGGATAGCTTTAAAATACAAAATTCTCCCTGTCTCCATTACCAGGGCAGTGAGTGAAATTAGGAAAAACATCAGTAGTGTTGCAGTCAAGATCAGCTTTACAAGACCCAGACCTGTGTTTACTGTGACTGAGACAAGACCAAGATTTAAGGGCTGGAGATCAAGTCAAGACCAGACCAGTGCAGTTTAACTGAATTTGATAGTTTGATAGGATTGGATTGCCTGTGTTTCAGTGACACTAATGGCACTAGACAGGACTGACATTATTGAATACATTTCCCAATTAAAATTCCCCCTAATTATGCAAAAGTTTAAGGGCATGCAAATGAATGCAAGACTAGCAGGTCTTGGTCTTGAGAATATTCTTAAGACCAAGACCGACCCAAGACAGATCTCACGTACTACACTATGGGGACGGTCTCCAGACTGTCGAAAGGCCTACTACAAAAATATTTAAAAACCTGGAAATATTAAATAAACTAAATAACTCTTATATAGTGTAACAGGCCTACATTCAAATTCAGACTGGCCATCAGGGGCCTCCTGTTGGTTACACTAAAACATTTAAGTTTTTGGATATTTTTTGGGAATTTTTATTGGGAATTATTTTCAGTAATGTCACTCCTATAAAGTGTCATTAGTGTCACTGAAACACAGGTCAACCAGTACTTTCAAACTATCAAATTCAGTTAAACTGCACTGGTCTGGTCTTTGTCACTGAAGCTTTCCACCTGAAACACGACTACATAAGGGAAAAGGGAGACAAAAAACATAGCTCTCATTCTGTAATTGTCCAGAATTCATCAGAGGCTCAAATGCAGCTTCAGCTGTCCCACTAAACTAATTTGAGTTGGTGTCTTTCAAATTCCAGGATAAAAATTACTTGCCAAGCTGTGGTGGAGGGACAGGTTCTACAAGTCATGTGGAGATTCTGTTAGTGGAAAAGGATTTTTAGAAAAATGCATAATCTATATCGCAACTTCTCTTGGTTATCATAATATCCTGGGATGCACTAACATTTGTTTCTATAAAAGATCAGAGAATGTCACTGTAGGTACACTGTAGGTAAACTGCTGACTGTCACCACTGTGGCCTTGAACATCATCTTACAGCAGAAAAATACAGTGGAAAAACAAAGCAGGACGGTTCGCATCAACCCCGAGGCTATGCCTGCTGATGGTTAAGGGAAGTACAGGGTGTACCACTTGTTGATTCATGCTGTGCTGGCTGTAAATGTGTCAGGACTTAATACAGTATAAATGGCTTTGTAGAAAGTGAGCAACACTGGAGGAGTTGTAAGCTGACCTTGCGGTAGAGGTCAGTGAGCTTGAAGTAGAAAAGGCGACAGGAGAGGCAGCCAAAGCGAAGGTAGGGGCTGAGGCCTGTTGGGCTGGCCAGCAGTGAGTTGGCATTCATCCTAGGGCGCTCGAAATTAGCCACCCATGCCTGTAAAAAGAGAAGCAAAGAGAGAGAACTATAGGACACAAGGGAGAGACAGAGTGGTGCATAAAAGGTGGTATATGATATAACTTAACAAAATGTCATTTTAAAGAATATGACTAAAAAAGCATGTCAGTAGTAAAATAACTGATTTATGAGTATAGTCATAAAATACTGACTTTTTATTTTAATGTCTGATATAATCCAATTACTGCCCATTAGTCTGTAAAACTGGAAGTAATTTTTAAATGATTTGTGATAGAAATAATTCCCTTGTTAATACAATAGTACTTGTAAAGATTTATGGAGGTGTGCTTCTGGGATTACATCTACAAAAAAATACAACAATTGTGGTGTTCTTTGCTAAACTTAGTATAGCAAGGAGCCAACAGTAGATGTAGGACTGACTTTTCTCTCCAGATGGCGCTCTATCCTGGTCAGGGCCTCCGTCTCTCCTCCTGGCCACACTGCTGAAGGCAGGCCCTCGGTGTCGAAGCCTGAAAATATTTATCTGTATTACCTTTCTGCTATACACCAGTGTCATACTGATATGTCAGATGGGTTAACAATGTTTTAAATATGTCAACCGGTTAAGACAGCACTATCTGCTGTTTTGGTAACTACAAACTAGTTGGTGACCTTTCTTGATCTAGGGCCAGTTTTTTTCAGTTTATTCACACAGATTTTTCTAACAATACATGTAGTTGAGTAACTCTTGAATGGCAACATTCATCTGTACACCTTCTGTATACACATCATGCCCTCAATTCTCCTCTATTACAGCAGCATTAGAGCTGTTTCATCAGTTCATCTTAGTCCATTCTGCTTTAATACAGCAGGTGTTATTTCCCCTTTTTCCTGAGAAAATTAACAACTGTGTCCTCCTGACCTTAAAAACTGTGATTTGGGTTAAAGTCTGGATTTTAAATTAATTTGTGGGGAAGGAGATGAAAAAGTCACACAGTGTATCTGCAGTCTCTCATTATTTGCTATCTAGTGCACTATATTATATAATCCATGTGTTTAAGTTGCGTTTTGAAATTCTAAATGTATGCACTTTATAGTTCCCTCAGACACTCCCAGGGTGGCATGAAAAAGGCAGTGTCCACTCCATGACATGCACACAAATGCTACATCATAGATAGATGTCACACTACACCATTAGGCTTTAACTGATGACGGTCCATAAGTGAACAAAATATCAATATACTGCTCACTACAGAATAAATTACTGAGTGTATGAGTGAACATGAATGTAACACCTGTGACAATTCTGAAAGCATTGGTACATTTAACATCATTTATGTAAACAAGAATATATCTAACCTGTATATTTAAATCTAGTAGTACACAAGGATTCAAAATAAAGCCCGCCAATCAGGAGTCTTTTCAGTTGAGGTGATTTTACAGTAGCCTGTACTATATGGCACTGTTGTTGTTTAATTAAATAAGTTTTAATTGTTAAAGGGCAAAGGACTGAAATGCTATGAGTGAGTACAACCAACTGCTAGTGTTTATCCTGCTGCAAGCACCTGTCTATAAGACTGTACAATGTTCAAAAAATTGTACAAAACTGTAGCCTAGTTTGCAAGAATAAAAATTCTGCACTAAAAACTCATCAAAAGATGCCTAACATTTCCCAAAACACCTTTTAAAATACCATTTATTCAACTATATACTAAATATTTTAAAGAGTACCTGATTTATTCACATTTCTATGTGAAATCTATCTTCCCTTCAAAAGCTGGGTAAGTACCTTAGTTCACCAGCTCTTGACCCAAAAAGCTCATTACAGACACTGAGTGCAGGTGTGTACAGCAGATGGTGGCAGCACTGTCACAGTGTGAATGGACAGTGGCCTTCTGTGAATGGAAACCTGGCATCTGGACTGACTTGTGGGTAAGAGGGTTAACATGTTACTTGGTTAATTTAGGGGACAAGCAACAGCTTGTGTACAATAAACCTTTACGGAGAGAAATCAGACACGTGCACTGACCTATTAGAGGATGGAGACCTTTTAAACATCTTATTTAAGAGTCAAACAGTTGAACAGGTGTAAGCAGCAGATGGTTACAGTGCAGTTTATTCTATGAATGGACTGCAAACCTCCGTGAATGGAAACCAGACATCTGGATAAAAACTCAAAAGAGGTGAGTGTGTCACCTAATTAATTATTCACAGGTATTCAGCTTTCTGGACTGGCTCCGACTTGTGTTACAGGTTGTTTGTAGCCTTAATGTTGTCAAGCTAATGTGCTTCAGTCTTAAAAATGTCCAGTTTAACCAACAGGAACTCCTGACTGCATTAATAAGGGTTTTTGCTGCCATGCAGGAAATAAATGCCTAACCAAGGGTCATGGCCTCACTGCAGAAACAGGGAATTTTCTAAATAATAGCATTTTGATTAAGCTTCTGAAAGTGTATTTTTAAAACTTTGTTTGTTTGTTTGTTATAGAAGCCAGAAGTTGAGAAAGAGGGGGCTGTCTAACAAGCAGGACCATCTCATATTTGGGCTCATGCAGTATTTTGATGCATGGAAACACAATGTGTTTGATGTAAACATGGTTACACAAAAGTAAGATATAGCTTTTGTTCCATGATCTGAATTTTAAAGACTATCTTCACTGAAATACTATTGTTTAGGAAATGACCACTCAGTTTGAACAACTACAAATTTTCCACTGATGGAAGCTGTGATTCCACCCTCCAGGCTGTGTAGGTGAGGGTGATGTTAGCCATATTTGGTCTGAGGTCACAGATATACAAGCCTCTGGGTTTTCTCACCTAGCTCTTCCAGGGATGGGACCCCATATTTTTCTCCGCGGTCTTCAGAGATGGGGGTGACACAGCGACCCATCAGGGTATTCGACAGAGTCTCCACAGGCATCTCAGGAGGATCCAGTCGACTGATCAGGGTCTGGAAACGCTTGTAGGTGAGAGGAGGCTGCCCTCCATTGAGCTCTATGATCCTAAAGAGGGACAGGAATTAGGGATTACCATATAATCATACCAGTTACTATCTGCAGAAAATTACTAACATTTGGCTTGTTGAAGATGCAAAGAAAGTTAAGTCAACATTTCCCTTGCAAAAAGCAGATAATCTGTAAAATTCTGCACAATTCATGTGGGTAGCAAATTTGGAGATAAAAATGTGTAATTTTGCCTTAAAGTGACAAGTCTGCATCCCTGAAACTAGACTTCTGTTCCATTACCCACTGAACCACAGTCAGTGGCTCTACTCACTGAACCACTGAACCACAGTCAGTGGTTCAGTGGGTAGAGCGGTCATCTCCCAACCGGAGGGTTGGCAGTTCAAATCACGGTGCCTGCAGTCCACATGTCGAAGTGTCCTTGGGCAAAATACTGAACCCCCAAGTTGCCCCTGATGGTTAGAGCCATCGGTGTGAGTTGGCGCCACAGACGGCTGCCTCGGTTCTGTACCGGAAACAAATTCCTTGTGTGTGTAACATACTCGGCCAAATAAAAGTGACATGCTGTTACTTTAAACTGTCTCCTGCCTGTGGCTCCATCCTGTCCTCTCTGCTGGAAACACTCCTGCTCTGCTGTAGAGGAGCTGCTGGTCTCATCCTCCAAGTCCACAAGGACTCAACTTGTTTTCATACACAGAGCTTATCTGATGTTGCCGTTAACTACTTAAAACGAGCGCTTGTTTTTTCTTGCTCGCAACAATTCACTACAATCAGCATCACACCACCGTATGGGTTTAGTGGCTGAACAGGACCAGACAGTTTAACTGCCAGTGAAGATGTTGCATTTCTGCAAGTTTGATGTTGTGTTCAGCCTGTTCGACAAGTGTTTCATTAATTACTCTGTTGCATTTGTTGCACATATCAAGCGTTGATGCCTCTGTAAAATGTGACCCATGTGAGAGGGGGAGGGAGGAACACTCACAGACACACACACACAGCAGAGCAGAGGCTCAGAGCCCACAGGAGGCTTTGGTTTTGTTGTCACTTATCTTAAAATATCCACAAACCACTGAAGTTTTTTCTCAAGCTGCCTAATGACTGACTCAGCCAGCATGGGGTTAATGTAATGCTGCCATTAAGTGGTATCTGTGCATAGTATTTGACAACTTTTACAAGTACAAGTACTAGAGGGTGGTATTGGACCCGATACCCAATATTGAAATCTGTATCATTGCATCCCTAATATTCATTTTCCCCTCACTTGTCCAGGTCGTAGAGGGTGTGTGATATCTTGACAATGACTTCCACTCCTGCCTCCATGGCCAACTTCTTGATGGCAGCATCTCTCTCTTTCCCAAAAGGCTCCGAATCATATTCAAAGGTTAGCCGAGAGATCTTCCACTCCTGAGATAGCAAGCAAGACATTTTGCCCGTTAAAATTTACTGTCTCTAGAGTTACACTTCCAGATTAATTGTTTTGTCAACCCAAACCAGACCCAAAGAAATTCAGTTTTAGACCTCAAATATTAGTCCAATGAGAAACATAACCAACAACAATTTTAACAGTCACTTCATTGTTTTAGTCATTTCTTAACTAAAGCATTTCCAGCTTTGAATTGTGAGGATCTGTTGTCTTATGTGATAATAAACTGAACATGTTTAGGTTTGGTCTGATGGTTGGACAAAACAAGACCTCTGATGCCATTACATAGGCTTTTAGGAAATTATAATTTGTTGTTGTAGGGTTGTTTTTGGATTACTTTCAGTTTTTCTTCTTTTATTAGTAGTATTATTACTATTTATTTTTACATTTCACTGTCCAAGTAATTAACTGAGAAATTATGCCCTAGGCCACTGATGCCCTATTCCATTTATAGTGATATAAAGCAGTAAAATGTAGAAAATTCTAAAATATTACAAGATGGAACTGGCAACTCTTTGGCATTCTGCTTGACAAATGACTTTAGTTAACTGAGATGATCCACACTGTTGTCACTTTGCTGTCAGTGTTGACCTTAAAGAGCCGTGGGAACACGTTAGCTGGTTGGCCCCTGATGACAAAAAGGCGGGAGTTGAGCTTCCGGAGGTTGGCGTCCAGATCTTCCAAACAGTGGAGGAGAAACCTGAGGAGGGAACACAGAGAAGAACACAACAAATTTAGGAATTTTCTGTTTTGTTACATCACTACAAAATGTGTAAGACAGACCTTTTGGTCATGATTTAGATAAATTTTTACTCCCCGCTACTCCACTTTACTGCATCGTTCTTCTGCAGTTGTTTGTTTAGGTATTTGTCCCTGCTCGACCTAACATTTTGCAAGCTTTGACAACAGAAGAACACTAATTTGGGATGAGGAGTATCCTTGTGTGTGTTTTGCTCCTCATGACACATACGACAACCCAGTGGAAGCTGACTTCCCTCGCTGTCAGACAACTGTTTGACGCTTTAATGGATCAGCATACATCAGAACAAAATAAATAATAAAACTGATAAGAAGACTAGTCAGTCATGCATTGAACATCACTTTATTTAATGCATGAACACCTGAAGAGAAGACAGGTGAAGAGATTCGGGAGAAGTTATGTCGGCAACCTTAACTTTACACATTATATAGAAATGTAAGAAACCAACAAACTAAATTTACAAGATATATAATTAAAGTAATGTAGGAACTTGAATGAGGGTGGCAGTTCAAATGTGTTCACACTGAACTCATTCTTAAGCTTATTTGCTTCAAACAATGGAAGGCTCCGGGTTTGGGCCCCACCCGGGACCTTTCTGTGTGGAGTTTGCATGTTCTCCCCGTGCTTGTGTGGGTTCTCTCCGGGTACTCCGGCTTTCTCCCGCAATCCAAAGACATGCAGCTTAGGTTGATTGGTGTCTCTAAATTGCCCATAGGAATGCGTGTGCGTGTGTGTGTGTGGTTGTTCGTCTATGTGTTAGCCCTACGATGGATTGGCGACCTGTCCAGGGTGTACCTTCGCCTGATTGCCGGCCAGGATTGGCCCCTTCCCCCCGTGACCCCGTTCAGGGATTAAGCGGTAGAAGATGAATGAATGAAAGGTACTGATAACCCCTGCATTTCCTCAAATGGCCACTTGAGGCTGACTTTCATGTTAAAATGCTCAACTTTACTGTCTCTAGAGTTAACTCATCCTTCCATGACAACTGCCAGATCTCTGGATAACTCTACACGCAACAAACTTTCAACAGCAATAGCTAAATGGGTGGCTGCAGCTTGCAGGCTGATTAACACTGTGGAGGACCAGGGTCTGTTGAAATAATTTCCAAAAAGCGCACGTATGAACTGCCTTTGAGATCCACCACTGTAACCAAGATACACAACTTGTATGAAGACGAGGAACACGGCAAACACGGCTGCACTCACCAGAAACTACTGGACTTCTCCCACTAATCAGTTAACTCAGGGCCCTAGAGCCAGTGGTGGAAGAAGTACTCAAATCATTTACTTAAGTAAAATTAGCAATACAACAGTGTAAAAATATTCTGCTGATAAAGGGAGAACTAGTTTTAACTGGCTTATATGCATTTAATTTGAAGGTCTTATAATTATACTATATCTTTTGTATTAATCTGGTTCTGAAAAGTAATGAATGTAGTGGAGTAAAAAGTATTATAATATTTGCCTCTAAAGTCTTGTGAAGTCCAAGTATGAAGTAACCAAAATGAAAATACTCAAGTGCAGATACTTCAAAATTGTACTTAAGTACAGTACATTGCTAAGATTAAACACAAGTTAACTATGGACAATCATGGAATTAATCAATTATTTTAATCAATTGACAGCACTAATGAGAACTTAAGATCCTTTTATCAAGCTAATATGTGTATGGGATCTCTTAATACATTGATTGCTATAGCAAGCATGTGTAAACAGGCATTACTTTATTAACAGAGGTAATACCATTGAGCACCACCTGTCTAGACTGCTGTGTCTGAGCCGCAGCCCTGCTCAGCAGCATGAGGCACAGACAACCAGACAGCCAGGCAGCCGCACGATGTCCTGCTCAGTTCTGTTCCCTTCTGTCTGACCCCATTGGCCTGATCACTGAACCAGAGGAGGGCTCGCTCACAGCAAAGCTCTATTTGCTCCCAATCCTCATAGACGGGCAGAGCTCAGCAGCGACGTCGCACACACTTGAGACACGTGCCTGCTTATGCATAAGTTAGACTAAGTTAGGAAGCTTGAGTAGGAGATTCCATAACCGACTGTCTGGGTTGTGCTTGTTGAGGACCAGCTTATACTGTGGCGCTGCTTAGCGTTTACTCTGCCAAGGTGCAATGAACTTTTTTATTCAGACTGCTGTTTTCAAGAAAATAAGCTTATGATACTTATGATATGCATACATTTGGTAATCAAGACTATCTCCAAAAAGGAAATAATTACTTTTTAACATAGACAATTAAAATAAATGAAGTGCTAAAATCTGACAGTTTGGAGGATTATATGTCCTGTCAAAGGCCCAGAGGTGACAGCAATACAACAGTATTACTGACTGCTGATCATTTGAGTCAGTTGGTGCACATGCAGTCCTCAGTTACAGCACACAAAAATGGATTTGTCATTATAGTACGACACAGATTTGCACACAACACCTGAAGCACCTCTGAAACAATTTTCATTTAAAAGGAAACATTCATAGAGATGTTTTCCTGAAAATGGTATCCAACATTATGGAAACTGAAATGATATTTATTTATAAAGCAGGCTGTGGATTTTTTTTAGTTTTAGACTTTTTAGTCAAATGATCATCAGTCATTTTGCCCTCCTTCTAGCTCAGTTGACAGAACTACATCAGAGATGATGAACAAATCATTCTAGGTGACATGCTATCAGCTGTTACATGAGTCATGTGTGTGCGTATGTGAGCATGCACAAGCCCAATCGCACAGTGGAAAAGTATGTATGCCCACTCATGCAAATCTTTTTGTGTGCTTGTGTGTGCCCATGCACAAGCACAAACAAGCACGTATATGTGTGTGTGTGTGCATTAGTGCATGCTTCCACATTTCAGAGCCTGAGTGCTCCTCTGTGTTTGTGCCTGTGTGTTGCTGGGTTAGCCACTTCTCCCTGATGTTCCTGGCCACCTGCCTGTATCTGTGTGTGCTACTTTGTCACACATCAGTCCTTATATAATATCCTGGCCTACATCTATCACAACAGACACACTCAGCTGCAACCACACCACAACACAAACCCTTAGCCTAGTAACCTCATTACTGGTTGTGCCCGTGTGCACACACATACATTTATTCTGTTTTCTCTGTCTTCTCCCATTGAGAGAGCAAGAGAACAATAAATGAACCACTGGGTTTAAATGGGCAGTGAAACCATTTACCAAAAGCAAATATGATTCTTGGCTACTGTGTGTGGAAAAACCTCTGAAGTCACATTTATTATTTTTCATTTTAATGTGATTTAACTCCTACACTCCACCCTTTATTCACAAGCAAAGGAAAAACAAAAATTCTGAATGTGTCTATTTTATTGTTACCTGCATAAAATGGTAAATGGTCTTATACTTGTATAGTGCTTTTCTATGCTTTCCAGCACACTCAAAGCGCTTTCACACTACTTGGCCATTCACCCATTCAAACAATACTCACACATTCACACACCGGTGTTATCACTAGGAGCAACTGGGGGTTCAGCGTCTTGCTCAAGGACACTTCGACATGTTGACTGGACAAGCCGGGAATTGAACCGCTAATCCTGTGGTTAGGAAACGACCCGCGCTACCTCCTGAGCCACAGCCGCCCCCCTATACATAGTCTATAGTATTGACTATAACCTTCAGGACTGAAGCTGTACATTGGACCATTAAGATGCCCATATAAAGTACTTGCTCATAACTACCACATGTATCCTGTGTTCCTGCAATCCTACTGATTACTATATATTTGTCTGACACATCAGAATTAACAGTAGCATTCTTATAGTGCGGCTATGCTTGACTCATTGGCCATGGCACACGCCAGCTGTGATGTCAACACAGAGCCAGAATCATTTAAACTTGACTCGCTGCAGTAAAGGGTGTCACTGCTGAGAAAAACACAGTCTACACCGCTGGAATAGCAGTAGCAGAAGAAATCCACAGGAAATATGTTCTGTAGCCAACTAGCCAACTAGTTAGCCAGTAGATATCGAACCTACAGAACTGCTGAATGAAGATGAATGAATGCTTGTGTGGTAGCCAACATGTTTCAGCTCTCTACCTAGCCAGCACACCAAGCAATAGATGTCTATATAGGGTTGTACTGAATGTCTGCAGAAACGGACCTACTCAAACACTCTTGCCCTAAGCTCGTCCACTTCCTGTTTGGCTCACCAGGTTCCAAAAACTGAGAAGTGTGTGACCAGGCAAAACAACACCAATGTGCACCCCTGTAAACCGTGACACCATTTTTAGCATGTGCTACCAAAAGCACAGGCGCAAACAGCGAGTATACACTGTTAGTTTGCATCTTATTTTTCAAACTCATTTGTCCAAATAAATAAATAAAATAAAATAAAGGTGTCTACTTAGAACCATCATATTAAGCATATGATATCCATGAACATTGTTAGGTATTTTTTAGTCAGATAGATATTGGTTAGATACTTGCAGCCGTAATCTTAATCATAATATCTTCCTAGGCTTAATGTCCGGACATGTCCCTGAATGTCCTGTATGTTCTTAGATACACACCACTTAATCAACACTCACACACATTGATTTTCTCCATGTTTTGACTACTGCTACAGTCAGCTGTAAAGCTGGCATATCAGGTGACGTCACGGTTTGACGTGCCTGTGTAGAATGGGGCTAGCCCAACCAAGTGATAAAATGTATAGGCTATTATGGTTCAGGGTCTTTCATTCTTCATCTGCCTGCGCGCAGTATTGGAGGTGGAGGATGCCTGGACGTGTAATGTTAAGTTTGCCTGTGATTCTTTGAATAAACCAGCACGTTTTTTTTTTTATATATCCAAGTGGTCCACTTCGTCTCTCTGAGTTCCTGGTTAAAAGAGCTGGAAAATAGCTTTCAACATTTAACTGGGAGATTCTGACTCCTGGCAGACCTGACACAGCTAGATTTCACCTTAAAACAGAAGAGTAGTG